TCGTAAGATTGTTACAGAGCCTTATGGGGGGAGGGGGGGATCATGTAAAGTTTATCATGGCACAGCCAAAATCTATGTCATCCGATCCGAGTTTTCGCCCATGGCACTTGAATTATTTACATCCCGTCAGCAAAAAGAAAATCACCATGTAGGGAGATATAAAACATTCACGTGTTTTCTTTATCTCACTCGAACACCTCGTCCCTGCTCAAGTCAGTGTGTGTAAAGACGAACTGAAAGCCATAAGAAACAAAGCAACATCACTCAACAGAACGGGACAGTAATGGAAACCAACTAGAAGCCCTCTCATCCTGTAATTTGAGAAAGAAAGAAAAGCAGATGACGGATTTCGTCCTTTTGCCTTAAGCTTCTTAGACGCAGCAAATAGTTTTATGAGTTAAGGGTTCTGTCCATTACACTTTGTCTGAGTCGGCGAAAGAATGCGAGGGCTTTTTAAACAACCAAGTCATATAAAGGAATCATCCCTGCGAAGAATGAAAACTTGTCCGCTGGCTTGCACAAGTTACTCACCCGATAGTAAGTAAATACATCGAGTTTCTCAATCAAACTTACCTTCTGTTGCTTACTTTTCCTCGACTTTTCTTCTCACGTTTATGCGGTAGTAAAGGTCTTTTGTATATATACTTCTCACTCAAACGTATTTATTGAAGCGGCTGACTATTCAAGATTTATGTTGTTATCAAAGTTAGAGAGCAATCTTCTTGAAACCAGTATATTCTTACCCTCAGTTTCCTTCCACTCCTCTCGTATTTTTGTATCGAAAAACTCTTTTATCAACTTTTCATACAATTTTAATGAACCTTGAGACAATGATTAAAATAAATAAATAGAAACAGCTTAAGAACCCATACATAAATTATGCATCAGTCAACTTTGCACGAAGTACTGATCACGGCTTGGGGTTAGCGTTTCTTTACATTCGAGTAAAGCGTGGGGGAATTTAACTAGAAACAAACCTAGATTACTCGGATTGTTTTTATTATCCGGATTTCTTTTCACCTGTACCGAGTTTTTTTATGAGTATCAATCAGTAGCATTCAGGATACATAGTAACTTTTTCCCACCAAACAAAGCTAAATTCGCCTAGTGAAAACTGAAAGAACTACAAGATGAAATTTCAAGGTTAAAAGTTTTCTTCAGTGATGAAACTGACAGGATTCCTTCTCACGTTGTAACTCGTACATTTATGACTCACAGTGTGTTGGTATATCTGTTGTACCATACATGTTTTTGTGTGTTCCTGACTCCGGTGAATGCGTTGTTGTACACTTGGAAAATGCCAATGAATAAAAGGAAAACAAGCTGTTTGCAGTGCAAAGCCGCAAAGCGGGAGTCTGATTTGCTAATCACGAGTTTGATTTCAGACAGAATTGGGCGACAAGAAGGCCTGTTACCAATTAATCAAAACTATGACGAAATTTGGGAAAGAAACTAGACATTGGTTATACGTTTTCAGAATAACCAAAAACAACAGTTTACTCGGCGAAATGTGAGACAACAGCGCGCGCACATGACGCGTTCTGTCCCCTCATACAGGCATGACATGTTAAAGGTCCATTTAACTGTCCTATTACACTGTCCAATTACAAGTATGACGCGTATACTGTCTTGTTGTGTTCAAATCGGCCGGCTGGTGATAACCAATCGCGTTGGAAAATTTTGTTACAGTTTCGATTAAAAAACATAATAAGGATCTTGTTAGAGAAAGCACGAGACCAGAATGTTCCAATAGAAACTGCTCCAAGTCAAACATACTCCGGTTTAAGTCCTTCTGTCTCTAGAAAAAAACTTACTCTCTTATTACCATATCTTGACAAGTCACAATAGACCCTCAAAGGGTTTCCACTCTTCTCGGAGTCGATCCAATACTCCCCGTCTCCGATCCTTTGGAGTGTCCAGAGTCCAGAATTTCCTTACAGGAGAAGGCCCGATGAACAGAAATATAAACTTTATATTCTCTGAAAAGCGCTTAGTAGAAGTAAGGAATACGTCACCATTTTTCGCTAGGAAAAGGGGGTGGGAGGGGTAAGAGGGTCTTGCGGGGGGGAGGGGGGTATCCTGGTTTTCAAAGGGAACAGAGAGGAGATCAGTCGTCGCTGACAGAGTTAAAGGTGGGACTAAAGAACATTGACCAACTCGATTTATTGTGACAACCAAAATGCTCCGACTTTTCCCTCCCCCTCTTCTCCCCCTCCGCCCAGGTGATAAAAATATGACTTGTTCCTAAGGTTAAGCACCTTAATTAACGGTACTTCTTCCATAATAAGTAGAACGTGGGTTACGTCTCAAGTTTTCTGGACTTGATTTTTCAGTTCGGTTACTCAGTTGACATTCCTTCTTTACATTATTAGCATCGGATTTGCTGTTGTAAGATTGGCATTTTTCATCTTGAAGGCATCTCAATCCACAGGTCATTTCGTCAGCGTATAATGTCTTGGTGATATGAACAATTAGCTCAAATCCTGGAAAAACAATCGTGTTTCATTTTATCATCATACAATTTACTTTGGATACTTTCATAATACAGTTTGTGTGTAGTTGGTTACCCTGTCATAAGAGGTCATCATATGAAAAAGCCCTAGGAGTTATGAGAGTTGCGTGTAGAGATTTTTAGGAGGATTTGTTGTGGCTAACAGAGTATAAAGAGAAAGGTGTAGAAAATTGACTGCCAAAGAGGGGTATTGTAAGATTGTTACAGAGTTTTATTGAGGGGAGGGGGGATCATGTAAAGTTTATCGTGACACAGCCAAAATCGTTCGACGTCAGTAAGACGAACTGAAAGCCACAAGAAATACAGCAACACCACTCAACAGAATGGGACAGAACTGGAAACTAACTAGATGCCCTCTCATCCTGTAATTTGAGAAAGAAAGAAAAACAGATGATAAATGTCGCGCTTTCCCTTTATTGATGTAACAAATAGTTCTGATTGTGAATTTAGGGTTTTGTTAATTTCACTTTGTTTGACTCGGCGAAAGAATACGGAGGGCTTTTTAAACTACCAGCTCATGTAAAGGAACCTTCCCTGCTAAGGATTAAAACTTGTCCGCTGGCTTGCAAAAGTTACTCAACTCAGTGTCGAAATGACAAACGGTTCAGCTAACTGTACTTTGGTTCAGTGACTTGACACAAACAGTTCAGAGTAGTGTGAAATGGCTAAAGCTATCGGCAAATGGTTGATAGTAAGCCGCAATGGCTCAGTATCGCATCAATCTACTCACCGAAAAGCGAAATGGTTTAGCGTGGCGACAATAGGTTTAGTACAAACCGAAATGGTTCAGTGTTACAGCAGATGGTTTTCGCCGTAACCGCCAAAAATACAAAGGTGAAATGGACAAGTAAAGCTTGAAATGGAACAGTCTATGTTGGGTCTTACGTCACAACCCCATAGTTTTTATAGTTTTTAGACGCCTTCTAGCTGTAGTTTCGCCGTCTTAAAAACAATGGATCGCTTTATTACGTTTCCTAGCTATGGTTCTGACTGTCTAGACTTTAAATGTGCCGTTGCGCAAAATGATGCATTTTATCTGTATTTTTGTCATCCTTTTGTTTCAGATTCTTATTTTATCTTGAGGGAGTAAAATGGAGAATTCTTACCATGGTCACACGTAACCATGGCAAGAATTCTCCATTTAAGGTACACCAGTTTTAACTATAAACTATTTGTAACTATGTAGTTTTCAACTAAATAGTTTTAAAAAGTTACTACTTTAGTTGTAGCTTCGTCATCTTTAAACAAGAAATCGCGTTATCACGTTTCCTAGCAATAGTTCTGACTGTCTAGACGGTAAGTGCGCTGTCGCGTAAAATGATGCATTTTATCTGTATTTTTGTCATTTATTTTATCGAGGTAGTAAAATTGAGAATTCTTATCATGGCTAGGCGTAAGGCCAGTAAGGATTAAATTAAAAACTAGAAAAATGAAGGGACAAATCCTCTCTCGACAATTAGCTAACTACAACAAACATGAGTTATAGCTATTATTCGTTTACAGTATTTTGTCATGAACAATCGAGCAAATCTGCACGCGAGGCATCGGCATTGCATCACTGAGAGAACATAGATACTACTGATCTTTAAACAAGCAATGTCCAGTCTCGACCTCTTAGCGAGATTGTCGCTCGTGTGAGTTAGTGGACCTTCTGACACAGAGACCTTCGATATGATAGGAGAACCCCCTTTGTATGGAATCCCGACTATTCTAGCCTCCTAATTGTAGACTGCACGCGGTATGAAAAGAGCTCTTATATAACCTACTCCGGTCCGCCACAACGGCAAAAGTTTCTTCCAAAAGGCACATGACGTTGCTGATATCGAGATTTTAGTCGACTGAAAACCTGAAGTAAAAGTAGCTTATGGGTGCTAAAAGCATAGTATCGTTCTTGACTTGTGTGAAACTCTGAACTTTTAGTATTCACGCGCGACGCTCGCGATCCGATCAACATGCCAATTATGTTTAGAATTCTTGAACTTAACACTGAGGTTGACGTGGTCACTAGTTCAACCTTTATTTAGAAGGAAGCAGTTGTGAAAATTTAATCGTTATGTACCTCGCAACTCAAATAGGTTTTTTGATTGGATGCTTGAATATGTCACACGCCGTGAATCAAAATACACTAACTTTTTAGGGTGAACAAAATTCACTAAGCCCCCGAAAAAACAACAACTTTATCTTTCAACTCTTGCGTGCTAAGGTCGTTCACGGTGAAACCGCAGCAAATGTGTGTGCCAGCCTACGTACCAACAGTAATTTTTGGCATTCGTATTCGAGTTGGGATGTATGAGAAAATATTTTCAAACTGGCCCCACGGGAAACAGTGAGGACTGCTTTCCCTTGCCCCGAAATGGAAACAAAAAAAATTCTTATAACCTGATGAAGGTAACAGTTCATTTGTTTTTATTTTGCTTTATTCGTATGTTACTGTTATTCGCACAGTCCAGGGTTGCCCGGTGTACAGACAGCTCTGAGTTAAACGCAACTAACGAACAAATACTCTCCAGAAATCGCCGATTGTGTTAACGGTCTGAGAGGCAACATCATCGCATTGCATTACATTAAGGTCACCCACGTTATTCAAGTGGACCCTAAGGTGATACGCATGTACTTTGAATGCGGGATACCAGTATAGCCTGTTTTGATCTTCACCATGTCCCCACTTTCCAACAAAGTACTCTCCACTTACTTGTCCCCAATCTTTGCAAATGTCAGCTAACTTGGAATTGTCATCCAACTTCAATCTCACAAACGAACCACAGGCATCCGGTTGCTCATCTGTCTGACCGCTGAAGTACTGGACCACAGCTTCACCTGAGCTGTTGGAAGCTGTGACCACGTGGAATGTGCGTCCCTGTTTCTTGTGGCAGTGGAATCTCAGCTGAGTGAAGGACAAGTGTCTTCTGAGCTCTTTCATGGCACGTTTCTGCAGAACCATGTATGACTTACCTATCCCACGGTATGATGTCTCAACTGACACCTTAGAAGAGGGGCTGCCGAACTCAACATTTGACACCAGGAGCCAACCTCCTAAAATAAAACAAACCTAAATGATCTGGTGACATCTATGTAAATAGAATTTTGGACATATTAATAGTGGTAACAGAACCGAGCGGAGTCCAGTTCGGTCTGAAATCATACGAGTGATTAACAAAATCGTAGGGCCGCAAAGCGGGAGACCGAATTGTTAATCACGACTATCATTACAGACAGAATTGGACGACAAGAAGTCCTGTTACCAATTAATCAAAACTGTGTTAAAATTTGTGAAAGAAACTAGACATGCGTTTTCATAAAAACAAAAAAACATAAGTTAACTCGGCGAAATGCGAGACAACAGCACACACATGACGCTATCTGTCTACTCACGCAGGCATGACGCGTTAACTGTCCCCTTAACTGTCCCACTACATTATCCAATTACAAGCATGACACGTACACTGTCCTATTAGTGCTCAAATCGGCCGTCTGGTGATAACAAATCACGTTCGAGAATTTTGCCATTGTTTTGATTAAAAACATAATACGAATAGCCAAGACCAGAACGTTCCAATAACAACTGCACCAAGTCAAACATACTCCGGTTGAAGTCCTCGTGTCTCAAAAAAAAAATTCATTCTCTTACCACCATAACTTGACATGTCACAATAGACCTTCAAAGGGTTCCCACTCTTCTCAGGGTCGATCCAATACTCCCCGTCTCCTTTGGAGTGTCCAGAGTCCAGAATTTCCTTACAGGAGAAGGCCGGATGAGCAGAATCCCAACCTCTTTTATCTGCATAGGAAAAGGGAAGAATAATCATTTGGAACGATGAGAGGATCAAAGTAAGAAACAAAACACGCCACAGAGGTCTTATTCCATAAGTTGTTACTTTTGCATAATTATTAGATAGCTCATGATTTTGTAAATCTTTGTAGGATCCATAACATCTTTCAATTCAAACTAAGAAAATGGAAAACCTATCATTATAAGGAAAAGCAAGAGATTTTAAACTTCATATTCTCTCAGGAAAGGTTATACATGCTATGTTATACATACGCTGACCAAAAGTAAGAAATAGGTCACCACTTTTCGCTTGGAAGAGGGGGTGGGAGGGGTGGGAAGGGTGGGAGGGGTGGGAAGGGTGGGAGGGGGCATCTCATGGTTTTCAAAGGAAACGGAGGGGGGATCAGTCGTCGCTAACAGAGTTTAAAGGTGGGACTAAAGAAATTGGCGGCCAATGAGGAAGATCGATAGAATAATTCGGAACGTTATGGAAGGATAAGGAAAACTTTATTGTGACAACCAAAATACTCCGACCCTTCATACCCCCCCTCCCACCTTCACTAGCTTTTCCATAATTTTAAGCACCTTACTCAACAGTACCTCTTCCATAATAAGTAGAACGTGGGTTACGCCTCAGGTTTTCCGGACTTGATTTTTCGGTTTGGTTACTCAGTTGACATTCCTTCTTTGCATCATCAGGATGGGATTTGCTGTTGTAAGATAGGCATTTTTCATCTTGAAGGCATGTGAATCCACAGTTTATTTCGTCAGTGTATAATGTCTTGGTGATATGACCAATTAGCTCAAATCCTAGAAAAAAACACAATCGTGTTTTATTTTATCATCACACAGTTTACTTTGGATACTTTCATGATACAGTTTGTGTGTAGTAGTTTACCTTATCTTAAGAGGTCATCTTGATTCTTGATAGTGCACAAAGGTAAGTATGAAGTAGCCCTAGTAGTTATGAGAGTTGAGCGTAGAAAGTTTCTGCTGTTTTTACCCGATTTTGAGGCAATCTCATATTTTTTTTCATGGGGGATCTGTTGTGGCAGAGTATAAAAGGGGAAGTATTGAAAATTGTCTGCCAATGAGGAGGATCGTAAGATTATTCCAGAGCCTTATTGGGGGGGGGGAGGGAAGGTAAATTTTATCATGACACAGCCAAAATGTGTCATCCGATCCGACTTTTCGCCCATGACACTTGAAATATTCACATCCCGTCGGAAAAAAAAAATCTCTATGTCGGGAGGTATAAAACATTCACATGTTACCTTCAGTTCTCTCGAAAACCTCGTCCCTGCTCAAGTCAGTTCTAGCAGACGAACTGAAAGCCACAAGATACAAAGCAATACCACTCAACAGAACGGGACAGAAATGGAAACCAACTAGATGTCCTCTCATCCTGTAATTTAAGAAAGAAAGAAAAACAGATGACAAATGTCGCCTTTTTCCCTTTTTTGATGCAACAAATATTTTTGTGACCTTAGGGTTTTGTTAATTACAATTTTGCCGTCTGACTTGGCGATAGAATGCGAGGGCTTTTTAAACTACCAAGTTATATAAAACTATCTTTCCTGCTAAGGACTAAAACTTGTCCACTGGCTTGCACAAGTTACGCACCCGATAGTAAGTAAATACATCGAGTTTCTCACTCATACTCACCTTCCTTTTCTTACTTTTCCTCGACTTTTCTTCTCACGTTTATGGGGTAGTAAAGGTCTTTTGTATATGTAGTTCTCACTCAAACGTATTTCTCGAAGCGGCTGACTATTCAAGATTTATGTTGTTGTCAAAGTTGAAGAGCAATCTTCTTTTGAAGTTTAAATTAACCAATTTCTCCAAATTGAATGACTTGGTTACTCCTTGAAACCAGTATATTATTACCTTCAGTTTCCTTCCACTCCTCTTGTATTTTTCTATTGAAAAACTCTAAGATCAACTTTTCATACAATTTTAATGAAGCTTGAGACAATAATTAAAAGAAATAAATAGAAACAGCTCGAGAACCCATACATAAATTATGCATCAGTCAGCTTTGCACGAAGTACTGATCACGACTTGGGGTTAGCGTTTCTTTACATTGAGTAAAGCATGGGGGCATTTAACTTTAATAGAAGCAAACCTAAATTATTCGGATTTTTTTGGTTATCCGGATTTCTTTTCTTCTGTACCCGGTTTTTTATGAGTATCAATTAGTCACATTCAGGATACAAAACAACTTTTTCCCACCAGCAAAGCTAAGTTCGCCCAATGAAAAAGAGCTACAGGATGTAATTTCATGGTTAAAAGTTTTCTTCAGAAATGAAACTGACAAAATTCCTTCTCATGTTCTAACTCGTACATTTATGAGTCACAGTGTGTTGGTATATATGTTGTACTATACATGTTTTTGTGTGTTCCTGTTTTGCACCTGTGTTAGTTAAATCTAATAACCGAAGCCAATATGCTAAGAAATATATTTCTTTCGATGCTCTAATTATTTTCTCACCTTTTGCACTCTAGCTACCCTACTAATGGTGTTTACTTTCGCTTACAGACAGTTCTAATACAGACACCTGGCAATGTTGATAAATTAAGCGACTAACTGATTCCAAAGGAAACAATGAGTTTTGTTTCCACTGCGGGTCAAGGTAAAGCAATTCTCACTGTTTCCCGTGGGGCCAGTCACTTTGATTTTAATTTTCAAAAGTGTTTTGTTATACCTCCCAACTCGAAAATGACTAAAAAATTATTTTGTTTTCGCAGGCTGGCACTCACATTTGCTGCAGTTTCACAGTGCACGACCTTATCACGTGAGAGTCGAAAGTTTAAGTTCTTGTTTCCCTCAGGGCTAAGTGGATTTTGTTCTTAGAAAGTTGGTGTATTTTGATTCCCGGCCCGCGAGATATTCTCCTCAAATCAGAAAACTTATTTGAGTTGAGAGGTACATAACGATTAAATTTTCACAACTGCTTTCTTCTTAATATAAGGTTGATCTAGTGCTAAGGAAATTGACCACGTCAACCTCAAGATCAAGTTCAAGGATCTAAACATGATTGGCTAGTTGGTCGAATCACGTGCGTCGTGCGTGAATACAAACATTCCAGTGGAAGAAGAAAAGAACGCTTTGCAGTTCGGAAAAAATTCACGAAAAGTCAAAAAAATTTCAACGTAATATTTGATGTGGCGGAAAACTATTAAGAAAAACCATGCCTAGCACGAAAGGTCGAAGCTAGCTGGGAATCGTGGACTAAAAAAAAGTAATTATACAGACATTGACCTTTCTGGCTTGTTCTTGTGCCTTACAGCAAATAAATCCTTTTCTTCCAAGAATTTGATTCAAACGAAAGAAAAGTGAACAGTGAGGAAACAAGTCGAAAAACTTGGTTTGCCTCGGATTAATTTTCCAGAAAGTTTACTGAAGAGCCGTCATTTACAGCGTCACTTAGTATTCCTGGCTCGAGTCTTAATTAACACATCGAACTGGCCAGAACTTAAATCTATACTCGCCCCAGTCCCAATGTATACCCCATGGTATCCATTCAACAGATGAGCGAACGAACGAAAAATGACTATGATTTTACCTTATTTATTTTAATTTTTTCTATCAATTTCGCTAGTTAAGTTTTTTTTTTTGGTAAGTATTTTTGTTCACACAATTTTACATAAGCTTTCACTATTCTTTCACCTGCCTTAACATTCCCACACAACAATCCAAAGTTCTCGCAGGCTACGACTTTCCGAAAAAAAAAGATACTAATTGTCCGTGAATTCGGCTTTTCGTTTCCTTACAAAAGCTGTCATCCCTTCCTTTCGATCGTCCTGCGAAATGAAAGAAAAAGAGAAAATTTTCCTTAGGGAAAGTTTCATCGCAAGTCTTTACAAGTTCACTATACTGTTATTCATCACCATGGTAACAATCGAATAGACGGGGTGAGTTTCTAGAAAAACTGTGCTGCTGCGGCGGGTGGGGTATCACAAAGATAACTTTTATCAAAAGCGTTGATAATGCAAAGTGGCCACCATAGAGAGTTTCTAAAGCTGACGTTCCTAGCCTTAGCCGTTCGTCAGAGCGAATAGAGGAATTGTGGGTGGTGTGTAGTTTATATGCAGAAAGATGGTAAGAACATAGGAACATTTTCATGTTTTAAATTGAACTCACTTCGGTTGCGCAGAAGACGTGAAGAGTTCAGTGGATTGCTCTAAATCAGAGAGAGTAGGTGATATGTTTTCGGGAAATGGTTGAGTGGCTTCACCACTTTGTGTTGCAATTGCCGTCTTCTTTCAAGTGTAAACGCCGATCAATATTAACTTACTGTTGAAAATGTTGAGTTAAACATTCTTTTCTCAAAATGCAGTCCTTCTCGTAGCCTAATAAATAAAAGAGGAAAAAAAGGATTTCAGACGCCTGAACAAAAAGACATTTGGGAAATTCAACGGTCTAAGGAACTCTCACAATAGTCTCGCAATAGAACGGTCAAATAGAAAAGATAATTGTTTTGAGATTAACTACTAAACCAACAAGAAACGACTAGCGATGGACAAGATAAACGCCGATTGCAGTAGACATAAAATCCTTCGATTAATCGAAGTATAACTCATAGCAAGAAGCAGCCAGTGGGACGGTTACAACTGCCAAGGCAATACCTGTGTTGACAGCTTCTTTGGCGATCTGTGCAGCGGTCTTCGACGAGGATGATATTTTAGCAGCTGTCTTGATAGCTTCATTTACGAGCTCTTCTGCGGGGAAGACTTTACTAACCAGGCCTAATAAAATATAGGAAAACTGTCTAATTCTGTAATTTGAATTTGAATCTGGGTAAAGGAACATCTCAAGAATGAGTGTGCACCAGTTTTATCACAGGAGGGCATGCCCCAAGTTCACAGTTTAGTCCTTTAACCTAGCTGAACAATTTGAAGTAACGCGGCCTCAACTACGACTTTTTGAAAAAAGTGTATAGAGCAAATTTACTCGAATCAACACGAAGAGAAAGGTTGGTGCAAATAACTTTTTCCGAGAGCTTTTAATAAGAGAGGAGTACTGAAGACATGCAAGTTTAAGTAAACTCTAAAAAACATCTTCGGAAGTGAACGGTTCCTTCGCGGAAATGCTAACAAACAGAAGGGAAAGATCTACGCCTTTAACTCAAATTTTGCAGGCTTACACAAGTGTTTAGCATAAAACAGTGTCTCTCCGTTGCAGTCCTTGATGATGTGGAAGTACTGTACACATTTCTCAATAATTTGTGTGAGAATTTCCTTGTGCCACCGGGAAGACTTACGATGCTAAGTACCTCCCTCCTTGACACTTTAACCCCCAAGATCTGATTGTTAATTCTCCCCTCTAGCTGCTACACATTCCCTTTTTAATTAGTTACGAGAATTTGACGTTAGATCAATAACAAATTTGAACTGATAAGTTAAATATTCTCATTATCCGTTTGCTGGATGATGTATGAGGTATGTATATTAGGAGAAGTTGCATGTTGATCGATTTTGTAGGGTAAAGAGGTAATGATGAACAACTGGTCAAAATTAGGAGCTAAGTTGAAAGGAACATGGACCTGATTTCTGTGCATCTTCTGCTGAAATAGGATATCCTGTGAGTATCATTTCCATAGCCAGAGACTTCCCAACAGCTCTTGGAAGTCGCTGTGTACCACCAGCACCTAAAAAAATGAAAGAAATCTTCGGGTTAGTTGCAGCTTTAAGCTCAAACTTAAGCTTGACACAATTAACCCTTTAATTCCCAGATCAAGTTTGTAATTCTACTTATTGTCAACCATACAATTCTTATAATTTGAGTTTAAAGAATTTAATATTGGATCAACTAATTATCCCCAAATTGAAATTTTT